AGTTTAGATCTTATCTTGATTGTTATGTTGCAATAACAATCTGAATCCTTCTTGTAATTGACTTCTGAAAGCCTAGTGCCTCAAATGTTGCACCTCTAATGGAGTCACAAACACCATATGCAACAAGATGAACAAGGAGAGAGGAAGGAGGCACCACAACATCCTAAGGTTTCTCTTAGAAGGTTAGGGGACGTTTTTGGCTTGCCAAGGGTTCCTTTTTATACTTAGGCTATTAGGGTTTTCAACCAGGAAACCCTAATCTGACTGCTTAGGCCCTAAGCAGCCCATGGACTCCCTCCTTAGAAGCCTTGGACGAATTCTAATGGGTTTCCCCATAGATTTCGTCCACTCCAACTTCTATGGAGTCCATTAGCCCAATATTCAACTATCACACAATTAACAGTTCTAGTGCCCTTTATTTAATTAATGTCTTTTAGCCACATAATTAATTCTTATTGATTCTTGACTAATATTAATTAAACAATATGATTTCTCTCTTAATATATTATTCATATAATATATTAATAAATCATAACTAATCCTTTTTCTCCTTAATTCATCCTATCAGTTGCTATGGTGAAGGCAACCCAAATGGACCATGCTCACTATCGGGTCAAGTATATACCAAGATAGTTATGGGCTTAGACACCTAATCCAACACTATCGTCAAATGATAGGATCATTAATGTATCTAACAGCTAGTAGACCAGATATTATGTTTTCCGTTTTGTTATTGTGCTAGGTTCCAAGCAAATCCACGCGAACCTCATATGGTGGCTGTCAAGAATATCTTCAGATACTTGAAACGAATTTCATCTCTTGGCATATGATACCCTGCGAAATCAGGCTTTTTCGTTCAATCGTTTTCGGATGCTGATCTTGGAGGATGTGGATTAGATAGAAAAAGGACAACTGGAGGATGTCAATTTCTCGACGGCAAACTTGTCAGTTGGCAGTCCAAGAAACAAACGTGTGTCTCCTTGTCAACAGCTCAAGTTGAATATATAGCTGCTACTTCATGTACATCTCAAGTCATCTGGATTCAAAGTCAACTTCATGACTATGGCTTAAGCATGAAATGAATCCCACTTTATTATGACTCTGAAAGTGCTATTCGCATTTGTCACAACCCAGTGCAACACTCGAAGACGAAACACATAGCACTGAGGTATCATTTCATCAAGGATCATGTAGAAGACGGCAACATTGAAATTCATTTCGTAAGATCCGCTGATCAGTTGGTCGACATATTCACAAAGGCATTGCCTGAAACAACATTCAACAGAATTCTTCAAGGCCTTGGAATGATGAAAGCCGAATCTGTACCGAAACCACCTTCGCTTTAGTAAAGCTATTGACACGAATCAATGCGAACACTCGCAGAGGCTCGTTGTCCACTGTTCTTTTGTGGTTCGGTTTAACCAATATCCTTTTGAACTTTATGTATAATATTTCAAAGCTTCAAAAATCTTTTGTTTGAAAAATCCAAAAAAATTTGTTATCCTATCGTTTTTATTTCTGTGATGCGAATTGGCCCGAACGCTCGCTTCAATTCGTTTCCGATTTTTCCGGGAACAGAATTGGCACGAATGTTCGCCTCAATTCGTCTCAAATAATTTTTGCTCGCTTTCAGTTTTATTTTTGTCACACAAATTGGCACAAACTCTCGCTCTAACTCGTATCCGATTTTTTCGGGACACGAATTGGCACGAACGTTCGCCCTAATTCGCTTCATCAATTTTTTTTATTTTACATTTTTTTTATGTTCATTTATTATCCTTTGTACAATATTCTATCTTATTCAAAATTCAAAAACATTTTGTTTTGTTTTTATTTCTTTTTCAGAAAATCTCAAAATACAAAAATATTTTATTTGTGTTTATTTTTTATTTATTTCTTTTACCTTCACAAATTTCAAAAACACCAAAAATATTTTAAGCTGTTCATGGAGGGACAGACTCGTATGAAATGGCAGTTATAACATTCTTTATCTATGTATTAGCTAAGTGTCCCAAGAAGCATGCTTCTGTATGTTGCCCAAAGCCTTGATTGACACAATGAAAAGCCTTAATGAATCGAATCTACCATTCGTTTCTTCCCAACCAGGCTGTTAAATTTACATTAGTCATGAGCTACCTTACTCTTCTCAGTTTGAGTTAAGAGTTATCTTCTTAGTTACTTTCGTTTAGCAGAGGTACATTCGATTCTCTGGAACCCTCTTCATATTTCTCCATTGGCTTCATTCTCATTAATGTAACCCTTGAGACTCTCAGCTATACCACTGAGGTTTATGGTTGCACAATATTTGTGTTAATGATCTTAGTTTCGTTCACCACGAATTAAGTGAAACCCCAAATCCAACACACTTACATGAATTGACGGTGAACAATTAAATGTTCTAGATTTTCACCATGGAATTAACGAAAGCCACCATCGTGGTATGTATCAAGGAATCTCTTTTTCTTTTGCGAGATCTTTATGAAGTGTTTTGATTCCAAGATACCTCTTCCCATAAGATCCAGTTTTATTTTTTTTGAGATTTCAAAATCTTTATCTTGTCACTAAAATAATTCCTCACCTACTCGTTCAGCTGACTACACTGGTCACACGAGTACTTCATCCAACATTCGCTCTTATGTCAAGATCGTGGTTTGGTTGGAGAGTAAGCCCCTTATTAAGCCTATTTAAAAGATGCCTTTCAATGTTTCTTATCAAGCATTTGATCGTATTTCAACGGGAAACCACACATACACTTCTTAGTCTCTCTTGATTTTGAAGGAAGATATCGTTGCCCGGGATCTATAGTTTCGTGTCCTTTTTAAGGCATCACTAAAATCCCACAGATAAATATTGCCATATTTCTTTTTCTTTGGCACACTCTCGCATGAAGATCTCTTTGATTTTCCTAAAGTCCTGCTTGTGGTACTTATGGCATTTTCAGTTTCGCAGATTCAATGATACTCAATGCGAACGACTGTATGGTTATGTATTGCAACGAATGTAGTTTTACCGGATGAGAACAAGAAAATGATGACGCGGCTGTTGGTGGATAAGAATTCAAAATTTAGGTGCGTGGAATTGGAACTGTTTCCATTCATCACGCCGTCTGACACCTTTTTAGGGGCTACAGTTGTCAAATCCCACTTTTTCAGGCGTCGTTTTAAAGGAAATCACTTAATCGACGGTTCACATTCTCTCTCTTGCATAATCGTATAAAAGGGTTTTTAATTCACAGCTTACCTTTATCACTATCAAATTCTCTCAAGAACACTAAACGATGATTTCTCTCTACTGTTCTTCTTCTTCATCATACTGCTACAATGGCCGTTTCTTCATCTTTTCACGATCCGACCACTCATTCATCGCTACTTTCCATCAAACAAAATCAAAACCTGATTCTTGATTTGACACCATTCAAGTATGATTCTTACATGCTACCCATCGTTGAATGCCTGAAGTATTCCCCTCTGGTCACCGCCTTAACTAAGGTTGAATGTGTTCCGATGTGTTTACTCTCGAAGGCTTACTCCTCAGCATCGTACATCAAGGAAGAAGAACGCATCACCTTTGAGATCTCTGACAAGAAAACCTCTATCACCAAGTCCAGATTTTGTTCTCTGCTAGGGCTTGCCTACGATGACTCCATGGTGAATCCAGAATCAATCTCTATTGCAGCTATTTTCGAGATGTTCTATGAGATGGGATATAAAGATATCATTCCATCAATCTCCAAGATCAGAAAACCCAACCTGCCTCCTCGATGGAATGGTTTGTTCACTCTTCTGTTCAAAGCCTTTTCCGAAAGAGTTACAGGTTCGGACTGTGCAAGTAAGAAATTCATGACTCTAATGTATGGTCTTTACCACGGAATCAACCTTGATTATTGCACAATTCTATGGTCTCAACTGGTGCAAAGTACTCACTCCACAACACGACACATTGAGATTTATTGTGCTCGTTTTTGGACCATTGTCGTTCAAAGAGCAATCGAAAAACACCAAGTACCCATCATGAAAGATTCCCTGATGTCCTCGATTGCTACTTTTCACACCACTAAGATCATTATCGCTGACGTCTCGAAGTTTCCCTTTGTTAGTTCCATTCCGGAGACCATGTATCGTTGTGTTCCAGCTGCTAGCAAGATTTTGGAGGAATACAAAAAGCTTCCATCTTCAGGAGCTCGCACCATTACTCCTGAGAAGCGCCTGTCAATTGATGAAGCTGACAAAGTAAAAAAGGGGGTAAGAAAAAACAACCGAAAAAAGGTCCATCTGAGCCGGCTGTTACTCCAAAGAAGCGAAAGGCGAAGGCTGCTCTATCTGGAGCCAACCCGAAGAAGCGAAAGAAACATGCTCGCAAGAGAAAGACCCCAACCTCAAGTGCAAGCGAAGGTTCAGAGTTTGATACACAGTATGATACTCGCAACAAGGAGGATAATCAAGTTCGTAATGAGGAGGATGACACGGCTCACAACGAAGAGGAACTCGTTCAGAACACAGAAGTCACATCCAATATTGAGGTAACTCAAAATTTTAATAATTTTGTTCCCTCTCCTCCTCCTTCGCCTAAAACCACCTCTACACCTATTACCATGCCCTCCACCAGTTTCTTCTCAACAACAAACAAGCATTCCTCTCTCCATCCCATTGTTCACAGATTCAACCGTACCTCCTACTACATCAATGTCACCTTTCGTTTCAGTCAACATATCTGATACGGGGGCTCAACCTTCAGGTTTCTCCACCCATATTTCACCTCCTATTTCCCCGATTAACCGTATTGACCCAGACATGGTCTTTGGTGATGATGAAGACGAAGATCTTGGGGGTTTTACTTACCGTCCCTTCCAAATCCGGACTGAGAGTGAAGATGAGGTGCAGGTTACTAAAGGGAAACTCCAGTCCCTACATGAAAAGATTGACCAACTGATTTTCTCTACCAAAGCTTCCTCTACTGTTGCATATGCTAAGGCAGCAATTGAGTCTCTCTTTGAGCGAATCATGAAGCAACATTCAGCTACTGTTGCAACGTCGAATAAAGCTGTTGCTGATTCTGCTGAGGTTTGCAAGTCAACGACCGAAAGAGTCGATAACCTAATTGAAGAAACTACTGCTTTCATGGAAAACTTCCAACCCACGTTCAACACCAACACCACATCGGCAAATGAAGCCTTGAAGAGTCTGGGCTCTCTCTTCAAAACTGAGAAGACGAATCTACAAGAAATTCGCACTGGTCTGCAAACTGACCATGAATCATTTCAAGCCACTATCTCGTCTCAGATTACTCAGCTTAAAGACGAACTGGTTAAGGAGCGTAAACTCACGGACTCTCTCGCACTCAAGTCAGAAGAAGCAAAGGTGTTAAGTACCAAACTGGAAGCTTCGTAGAAGCAGGTTCATGATTTGTTATTTGAGAGGGCAGTCATGCGAAGCAGTATAACCGATGTTACTGGCATGCTCTCGGATGTCATTGAGAGTAGGGACTCCATGATCACCATCACAATATGTAAGCATCTGGCAGAAAGGTTAAGGCTAGTCTTCGCAATGCTTCACCGCCTTGAAGGTGTTTCTGATCAGTCCTTTCATCTGTAACAAAGGGGAGAAGGTGTGGCTGGTGGATCACGAAAAGGAGGACCTAAATCTCCTGTCAAGTCCGTTGCCAAGAAAGAACCCAAGGGCAAGGAAAAATTGTTCCGTGACGACCCAATTCTTGATAATGAAGAAGAAGAAGAGCCTGATGAAGAAGAACTTAAAAGGAGAAAAGTTTGTGAAGCTGAACTGGATGAGCACCAGCGAATCATCCGTGAAGCTGAAGAAAAGGAAAGGGCTGAGAAAGAAGCACAGGCTACTCTTTAGAGCAAAAAGCTCTTGTTTCCCAAATGGACCTTGAAGCGAATCCAGCATGATGCTGTTGATCTTCCAAGCCAATATTGGTTAGAACTAGTAGTTTCGTTTGATCTTCAGAACACACGAGACTCACAACTAGATCTGCCAATTACTCCAAAAGCCTTCAGATTCCGTTCTTTTGTTAAAGTGGTGAACGCTCCATTCACAGACAGTGGGGCTGATCATATGATATTCTCGTTTTATCTGAAGCATATGAAGCCACAATATGAAACCTGGTCGTTGAGCAAAATTACCGTTGTGAAAGTTACAGGGCCGATAGAGACTGATAGCTTTACGAACGCAAAGTTCAAAGTGGCAAGAGGTTCAGTCAGCCAATGCTATGAGTTTACTCTTGTAGATTTACCATGCCTTAACCCATATGACTGGTTCGTTCTTTACAACATGTTGCTGAAGGAAAAAGAAAAATACGAACCTGTCATGTCTCATCTCAAGAAAATGATAAAGTCCTATGTTCAGGAGATTGGGGAGATGGATGTTGAGGTTGTTGTTGTCCTGCGAAAGAAGCCTTCTGCTGTTCGCAAGGAGACTCCTAAGGACTTTGAAAAGTTGAAGTCGGGGAAGCTTTACAGTGGAGATTGGTTTGTCGTTTATTCTGATAGGGAACGAACTGGAGCAGACTTTCACAAAGGATGCTTCTATCTTTCTGATAAGCATATTTATACCACATCCTTCCTTGAGTACATTTTGGACCAGGTGGGCAAGTTCAAAGGCAACATCAAATATGACATCAAGTGATTCTCAAATATGGTTGTATGGTACATTGAGATTCGTCAAGCAATCTTTGCTATTATACCGAAGGTGTATGAAGTGCAGAAGCGAATCCAAGGCTGATAGGTTCGTGCCTCAATTGACGCAAAGGGGAGATTGTTGAGTATTGACTGTTGCGTCATTGGGCCTATTAGCTAGCCTTTTGTATTATTGAGTTGGGCCTGTCCACTCGTTATTAATTCTAGGGTTAGAGTATTTAAGGTGCATGCATGCATCATATTTTAGTTAACTCTTATCTTTTACGTTGTAACCCTAATCACGCCTCTACAGTAGCAATTCCTTATAGAGTTCTTCTGAGGTGTGACGTTTAATCATTCGACATTCTTGAATCTTTATTGTGTTCTTCTTTTACCTGTTCTTGAATCTAATCAATCAACAAGGATATTAATCCTAACAGCTTAATACAAGCACCTCGAGCCTGGTATGCAACTCTTACCAATATCTTGAAACTCTCGAAATTTAAACAAGGATTTGTTGATCCCATCCTATTTCGAAAGAAAGTGGGGGATCAATTGATGATCGTTCAAATTTATGTAGATGATATTATTTTTGGTTCGACTGACCCTTCATTGTCTACTAAATTTGAGTATACGACGAAAAGTCAATTCGAGATGAGTATGATGGGTAAGATCAATAATTTTCTGGGATTTAATATTCGTCAAAGAAGAGAAGGAGTTTGATGGGTAAGATCGTAATCTTCTTGAGAAGTTTGGAATGACGAATAGTTCGAAATTTCGAGTACCAATGGTTGTCGGCACACCCTTAGGACCTTCGTTGAACAAGCATGTTGTCGATATTACGTTGTAAAGGAGAATGATCGGTTCGTTACTATACTTAACTGCTAGTAGACCTGACATTATGTTTGTTGTTTGTGATTGTGCCAGGTATTAGTCGAATCCCAGGGAACCCCATCTAACAGCTGTAAAGAATATCTTTCGATATATCAAAGGGACAGTGTCGTTGGGTTTATGGTACCCTTCTAATACATGTTTCTTCATTCAAGCATTTTCAGATGCAGATCTTGGTGGGTGTCAACTTGACAGAAAGAGCACTAGTAGTGGATGTTAACTATTAGACGAGAAGCTTGTTAGCTGGCAATTGAAGAAACAAACCTGTGTTTCGATTTCTACAACAGAAGCAAAATATGTTGATGTTGCAGCTTCCACTTCTCAGGTCATATGGATACAAAGTCCACTTCATGATTATGCAATCAACATGAAAAAGATACCTTTGTATTGCGATTCACAAAGTGAAATATGTATCTGCCATAATCCGATGCAATATTCGAAGACGAAGCATATAGCACTTGACTATCATTTTATAAAGGATCATGTCGAGGATGGAAATATCGAGGTTCACTTTGTGAAAACGACAGATCCACTTGCTGACATCTTTACCAAGCCTTTAGATGAAAAGTCTTTTCTAAGGATCTTGTCTGGATTAGGAATGCTTGATGAAACTGTTGTTCCAAGCTTGTCTTCATCGTGAAATAACGAGGAGTCGAAACATCGCTGAAGGATTCACAAGTTACTGTTCACCATTCAGCATTCGCCATCCTTCGTTTTCGAAATCTCTCTGAATGATTCAGATCCTACTTCGTTGTTTAAGCAGACTTGCTGTTTCGAATTACTATGATTAGATGTCGATACTTTTCACTTCGATTGCCTGGTAACATTTTATTTTTTTTCATAGTGTTTTCATAAACCAAAAATACCAAAAAGATTTTATTTCTTTTATCTTTAATTTTCAAAAACCCCAAAACTCCAAAAGTATTTTTTTTCCTTTTGTCTTTAAATTTCAAAAACAAAAATTCCAAAAAGATTTTCTTATTTTTGTATTTTTAATTTCAAAAACAAAAACCCAAAAATATTTTGTTTTGTTGTTTTGTGTGTTTAACGTTTTTTTTTTGTAGTTCTCAATCGACATATTATGGTGGATATTGCTTCGTGAAAATGGGACATATATAATTTTGAATCTTTGCACTAGTTAGGTGTCCCTAGAAGCATGTTGATGTATGTCGACCTAAGCCTCATAGACTCAATATGTTTCGAAGCCTTAATGGATCACTCACTACGAGGGTTCCTTCCTTATTAGGCTATATTCGCATTAGTTGACGAGCTACCTTTCTCTTCTCATTTTAAGTTAAGAGATTTATGCTTAGTCCATATCATTCACATAGGTACACTATGTTTCTTAACCAATCTTTTTCACCAACTTAGTTCTTCACGCTTCACACACTGCACTTGCGTATCCTCGACATCTCTGGTATAAACCAATCAAAATGTAGATACTGTACAAGTCTGTGTTAATGATCTTGATTCATGAGTCTGTGATGATGGTGAAACCCAACATTCCCAACTTCTAAAGGAATTGGCAGTGAACGTTAAGTTCAAGATTCTCACGAAACATTTGTTTCAGTACCTTTCTTCGATATCAAAATCGTATTTTCTCATTTTGCGTGATCTTGATAAGATGTTCTTTACCCAAGACATTTTTTCCCAAAAGGATCCAGTTCTTATTTTTTTGGAATATGATTTCCGTTTGAATATCAGTTTGTATCCTTGTCACTTTACAATTTTATCTCACCTTTGCTTGTCGCTGACTACAAAATTGAGCCTACCTTCGAAGCCTACATAAAAGAATCCCTTCGATACTTATTTATGGGTATTCGATTGTACTTCATGGGATACCACACAAGCAGTTCGATATCTCTCTTGATATTGAATGAAGTGATCTTTGCCTGGGATCCATATGCTTTTACGTCGAATGTTTATTTGATGTCACTTTATGCACATATTTTTTTTATCTTGGTTCCCACTATTTCTTTGGCATACATTTGCACGAGAAACCCATAGGATATTGGGTACTACCAACTCAAACCTAGATTTCGCAAGTCTGGCTATGATTTTGTTTTTCATCCCAAAAGTGAATGAGCCTTGCCTCGAAACGAAGGTTCAGTGATGGTTCTTATCCTCTTGGGGCAACCGAAACAATTGATTGATGTGACAGTTTGGTTACTTCACGGTTTTACAGAAAAAAGTGCTCATTACTTTTCAGACGTGGCAACTTTTACGGCAACTGATCCATTTTCCTAGGATACACGTGGCTAGATTTCATTGATATCCGGTTCAAATTCAAATTATGTATTAAGTATAAAAGGAATTTAGGGGTCTCACATTAAAAGTTTACGCATCCTGGTTGAATATTTTCCCTAAAATCTTCTTTCCTTATACTTATCTCTTCAGACAAATCTCCAAAACCCTAACAATGGCGACAACAACTGCTCATGTTGATCCATCCCAAAATACTGATGAAGCCACATCTCAACCCTTGTTGAAGAATCAGAGTTCCAATTATCGAGTTCAACCAGACATTTCCAAGTACCCAGAAGAGTTACAAATGCTGATCGTTGCTTTGAATCACTTTGTGCTCTCAACGGTCACAACTTCTTCTTTTACAGTGCCAATGACCTGGTTATCTTTGGCCGGTTCAACTGTGTTCAATAAAACCTTCAAAGTCGTAACCTTTCAACTTACGAATGAGAAAAAGTACAAGCTCACGAAGAAACACTTTGCACAGATCATGAAACTTTCCAACACTGGTCCGTTTTATGAATTGACCAATGACCAGGTGATACATATGTTCATGGAGATGGGTCATCAACCCCCACTCACCAGAATTAGTCAGTTCAAGAAGTCATCTTTTCCATGTAT